TACTGGGAGAATATCGGCCCGAGGTCTTGAAAGTACGAACCGAGCGCAGCGAGGTCCGTACAAAAAAGACCGAGGGTCGATATTCTTCCAGTACGGTCCCGAGCAAGCTTGGTTAATAAGAGATTTATTATACGACTGAAGTTCAAAAGGGACACAAGTGCGGTATCATTCGAGACCATTCGGGACAGTGCCCGGTCCATGATACTTAGAGAATACTGGACCGACAATAGAGCATTTTGATTGGTTGATTTTAGTTATTGGCCCTCTGACTGCCCGAGTCGTGTAATAAAATTAATTAATATAATTAAAATAATGCGGCAGTTAAGTATGCTATCTCTCTTGGTCCCTGATTACAGGTTTCTATAGGACGCTGCAATGTTACGCGATCTTCTAGACTCATTCTCGTTAAATATGGGGATAAAGCTCTCCCTGTTTGTTTATTTGTTTTCTTTGCTGTTTCGCCTTACTGATAATTCTTATTCAAAATTCCTGACAAGTGCTGACAGAATCGTACCCAGTCTCATTTATATCATTGTAATGGTTGGATAACAAAACGAAACTGACGGTGCGATGATTTCGTAACATTAATAGCAGTCCAGTAATCTGCAGGATTGTAAGAGTAACACTGTAGTTAGGAAAAAACGCTTTCGAATCAGGATTATGTCACTAGTAACATAGAAAATTTGTTTTACAGTTAAAAAAAAAAACAGCTCAAACTCCCATTTCTCAATGAAAAGCTCAGCTTTAGCCACTTTCGCCACAAGAACAAAGCAAAGGTTCGCAATGTTGCTTACGAACCAGTTACCAGCATATTAAACGGAATGGTGCCCGCGGCGGTAAATTAACAAAAATGTATTATTAAAAAAATTGAGGCAACAAACAAATGTAAATCTATTACTGCTCGACATCGATATCACCTATGCTATGAAAGGATGCGACAGGTTTTATTTTTATGGTCACGAGGTCGTTCGCGACTTTTTCTTTAAGGGTTCTATTTATTTTACGGATGCTTAGAAGGTTGAATTCAGAGTAACTGAAGTCGGTTTCTCTTGAACTTGTAAAGTTCATTTTGGTATTCAATATGCTCTATCAACGTCCTACAAACATCAACACAGCTGGCTCAATCAAGATTATGGTAATTACATCACGCGATTAATTCCATAATATGATTGTAAAATTTGGCAGTTTTCCTTGCATTTTACTTCTCACAAGCGAACCTGTAATCGTCGAGAGCCCTGCATCTGCCAACACAACTTGACCGCTGCATAGTAAAACCTCTTTCTGTGTCTTTATCTGCATTCGCCAGGTGTTGGGTCTCACAAAGCCCTGCAAGACAGTGTCTACATCAGCAAAATGATAGATATGGCAAAACAAAATCCGAACTTTTAACCACTTGGTATTCGCTGATTAATGTCTGCCTCGTCAAGTTCCGTCGTAGAAAAGCGAACGCGAAAAGGGCATGATGATTAGGTTTCATACTGAAAACCAAGGGCAGCCGCGCACAAATGTTCCCACCTGTTGGTCTTGACGTATCTCGTCAGTTTAGTTTTAAGCAAACAACCCTACCGGTAATTTCTCAATGAATGGGTCAGACGAAACTTTTGCCACTTTTGCAACAACAAAAAGAGAAGTTTGGAATATCTGATGGAAAATTCGCTTGCGAACCGGTCACCGGAATTTCAAACAGAAACTTGCACACAACGACTGGCTAACAAAAATTCATTATTCACAAAATTAAAACCACACACAAATGCAAATACTGCTCAGCATCGATACAGCATTACTCTGGTCCCAGAGGGTCTCTTCTTTCTACCGGAGTACGAGAATTCGGCGCGAAGCGCCGACCAACGAGCTGCAAAGCAGCGAGCGGAGAGAACCTCTGGTCAGGACCGTTGAGAATCTCACTTTCATGCCACCAAGCTTCGGGTGACAGCCATCAATCACGCCCCTTTCCGACAACCAATCAGAG